TCAGTAGTGTCTGAGTAGTGACTGTTTCAGTAGTGACTGAGTAGTGACTGTTTCAGTAGTGACTGTTTCAGTAGTGTCTGTTTCAGTAGTGTCTGTTTCAGTAGTGACTGTTTCAGTAGTGTCTGTTTCAGTAGTGATTGTTTCAGTAGTGACTGAGTAGTGACTTTCAGTAGTGACTTTCGGTAGTGTCTGTTTCAGTAGTGTCTGTTTCAGTGGCGACTGTTTAAGTAGTGTCTGTTTGAGTAGTGTCTGTTTCAGTAGTGACTTTCAGTAGTGTCTGTTTCAGTAGTGTCTGTTTCAGTAGCGACTGTTTAAGTAGTGTCTGTTTCAGTAGTGTCTGTTTCAGTAGTGACTGTTTCTGTAGTGTCTGTTTCAGTAGTGACTGTTTCAGTAGCGACTGTTTCAGTAGTGACTGTTTCAGTAGTGTCTGTTTCAGTAGTGTCAGTTTCAGTAGTGACTGTTTCAGTAGTGTCTGTTTCAGTAGTGACTTTCAGTAGTGTCTGTTTCAGTAAAGAACCCTTGAAGAGTCATGTTCATTTCTGATGAATCTGTGAATTGATCTGTGATTGTACTGAACTGGTTCAGAGTCAGAGCTGAAACACATTTGGGACTTAACTGGTTTTGACTTTGAGTGACTCTAAACCTTAATTATGTTTCAGTAGTGTCTGTTTCAGTAGAGACTGTTTCAGTAGTGTCTGTTTCAGTAGTGACTGTTTCAGTAGTGTCTGAGTAGTGACTGATTCAGTAGTGACTGTTTCAGTAGTGTCTGTTTCAGTAGTGACTGTTTCAGTAGTGTCTGGTTCAGTAGTGTCTGAGTACTGACTGTTTCAGTAGTGTCTGTTTCAGTAGTGTCTGTTTCAGTGGTGTCTGTTTCAGTAGCGACTGTTTCAGTAGTGTCTGTTTCAGTAGTGACTGATTCAGTAGTGTCTGTTTCAGTAGTGTCTGAGTACTGACTGTTTCAGTAGTGTCTGTTTCAGTAGTGTCTGTTTCAGTAGTGTCTGTTTCAGTAGTGACTGATTCAGTAGTGTCTGTTTCAGTAGTGTCTGTTTCAGTAGTGACTGTTTCAGTAGTGTCTGAGTACTGACTGTTTCAGTAGTGACTTTCAGTAGTGTCTGTTTCAGTAGTGTCTGTTTCAGTAGTGTCTGAGTAGTGACTGTTTCAGTAGTGACTGAGTAGTGACTGTTTCAGTAGTGTCTTTTTCAGTAGTGTCTGTTTCAGTAGTGACTGTTTGAGTAGTGTCTGTTTGAGTAGTGACTGTTTCGGTAGTATCTGTTTCAGTAGTGTCTGTTTGAGTAGTGTCTGTTTCAGTAGTGACTGTTTCAGTAGTGTCTGTTTCAGTAGTGATTGTTTCAGTAGTGACTGAGTAGTGACTTTCAGTAGTGACTTTCGGTAGTGTCTGTTTCAGTAGTGTCTGTTTCAGTAGCGACTGTTTAAGTAGTGTCTGTTTGAGTAGTGTCTGTTTCAGTAGTGACTTTTAGTAGTGTCTGTTTCAGTAGTGTCTGTTTCAGTAGCGACTGTTTAAGTAGTGTCTGTTTCAGTAGTGTCTGTTTCAGTAGTGACTGTTTCAGTAGTGTCAGTTTCAGTAGTGACTGTTTCAGTAGTGTCTGTTTCAGTAGTGACTTTCAGTAGTGTCTGTTTCAGTAGTGTCTGTTTCAGTAGCGACTGTTTAAGTAGTGTCTGTTTCAGTAGTGACTGTTTCAGTAGTGTCTGTTTCAGTAGCATCTGTTTCAGTAGCGACTGTTTGAGTAGTGTCTGTTTGAGTAGTGACTGTTTCAGTAGTGACTTTCAGTAGTGTCTGTTTCAGTAGTGACTGTTTCAGTAGTGTGTTTCGGTAGTGTCTGTTTGAGTAGTGACTGTTTCAGTAGTGTCTGTTTCAGTAGTGTCTGTTTCAGTAGTGTCTGTTTCAGCAGTGACTGTTTCAGTAGTGTCTGTTTCAGTAGTGACTGTTTCAGTAGTGTGTTTCAGTAGTGTCTGTTTCAGTAGTGACTTTCAGTAGTGTCTGTTTGAGAAGTGACTGTTTCAGTAGTGACTGTTTCAGTAGTGTCTGTTTGAGAAGTGGCTGTTTCAGTAGTGTCTGTTTCAGTAGTGACTGTTTCAGTAGTGACTGATTCAGTAGTGTCGGTTTCAGTAGTGTCTGTTTCAGTAGTGACTTTCAGTAGTGTCTGTTTGAGAAGTGACTGTTTCAGTAGTGACTGTTTCAGTAGTGTCTGTTTCAGTAGTGTCTGAGTACTGACTGTTTCAGTAGTGACTTTCAGTAGTGTCTGCTTCAGTAGTGTCTGTTTCAGTAGCGACTGTTTCAGTAGTGTCTGTTTCAGTAGTGACTGATTCAGTAGTGTCTGTTTCAGTAGTGTCTGTTTCAGTAGTGACTGTTTCAATAGTGACTGTTTCAGTAGTGTCTGAGTACTGACTGTGTTAGTAGTGACTTTCAGTAGTGTCTGTTTCAGTAGTGTCTGGTTCAGTAGCGACTGTTTCAGTAGTGTCTGGTTCAGTAGCGACTGTTTCAGTAGTGTCTGTTTCAGTAGTGTCTGTTTCAGTAGTGACTGTTTCAGTAGTGTCTGTTTCAGTAGTGTCTGAGTACTGACTGTTTCAGTAGTGACTTTCAGTAGTGTCTGTTTCAGTAGTGTCTGTTTCAGTAGTGTCTGTTTGAGTAGTGTCTGTTTGAGTAGTGTCTGTTTCAGTAGTGACTGTTTGAGTAGTGTCTGACTAGTGACTGTTTCAGTAGTGTCTGTTTCAGTAGTGTCTGTTTCAGTAGTGACTGTTTCAGTAGTGTCTGTTTCACTAGTGTCTGTTTCAATAGTGTCTATTTCAGTAGTGACTGTTTCAGTAGTGACTGTTTCAGTAGTGTCTGTTTCAGTAGTGACTGAGTAGTGACTGTTTCAGTAGTGACTTTCGGTAGTGTCTGTTTCAGTAGTGTCTGTTTCAGTAGCGACTGTTTAAGTAGTGTCTGTTTCAGTAGTGTCTGTTTCAGTAGTGACTTTCAGTAGTGTCTGTTTCAGTAGTGTCTGTTTCAGTAGCGACTGTTTAAGTAGTGTCTGTTTCAGTAGTGTCTGTTTCAGTAGTGACTGTTTGAGTAGTGTCTGTTTCAGTAGTGACTGTTTCAGTAGTGTCTGTTTCAGTAGTGTCTGTTTGAGTAGTGACTGTTTCAGTAGTGTCTGTTTCAGTAGTGTCTGTTTCAGTAGTGACTGTTTCAGTAGTGTCTGTTTCAGTAATGTCTGTTTCAGCAGTGACTGTTTCAGTAGTGACTGATTCAGTAGTGTCTGTTTCAGTAGTGTCTGTTTCAGTAGTGACTTTCAGTAGTGTCTGTTTGAGAAGTGACTGTTTCAGTAGTGACTGTTTCAGTAGTGTCTGTTTGAGAAGTGACTGTTTCAGTAGTGTCTTTTTCAGTAGTGTCTGTTTCAGTAGTGACTGATTCAGTAGTGTCGGTTTCAGTAGTGTCTGTTTCAGTAGTGACTTTCAGTAGTGTCTGTTTGAGAAGTGACTGATTCAGTAGTGTCTGTTTCAGTAGTGTCTGTTTCAGTAGTGACTTTCAGTAGTGTCTGTTTGAGAAGTGACTGTTTTAGTAGTGACTGTTTCAGTAGTGTCTGTTTCAGTAGTGACTGTTTCAGTAGTGACTGTTTCGGTAACAATTTTAGCTCATTCTGAGCTCAGAAATTCAGCAGTTCATGACCAGCAAACACAGCTCTGAACAGCTGTTCACACAGAAAATCATCATATTCTACATTAAAAAACTAAAAAGTGCTGAACTGCAGAAAATATGACGATTCTTAATGTTCCACACTGATTTTCAGACTTTGGACACATTTACTTCAAAACAATGGGATCTAAAATAAAATAAGCCTCCACCCACAGACTAAAACCCTGTGTTTCGGTAGTGACATAAAACATAGGACAGCATATTTTATTTAAAAAATAAACTCATACTAAATCAACGCTTTTCAACGTCATTGAAAAAAAAAGAAAAAGTTGAGTTTTTTTAATATATATATACACACATATATAGGAAGTATCCGGTAGAATCATTTACATCATATATACAGTCAATAAGTGTAGATATCATATATATCATACAAACAGTCAATGAGTGTATATATCATATATATCATATATACAGTCAGTCACTGTATATACCATATGTATCATATATACAGTCAGTCAGGGTATATACCGTATGTTTCATAGATACAGTCAATGAGTATATATCTTATTTTTATATACATATATATATATATATATATATATATATATATATATATATACATATATAATCAGTGAGCGTATATATCATATGTCACATATACAGTCTGTGAGCATATATATCATATATATTATATATACAATCAGTGACAGTCAGGGTATATACCATATGTTTCATATATACAGTCAGGCTGCCAGCTCTTCAGAGCCACACACCACAGTTGAGGACTGATGCTGTGAAACTGCTGCTCTGCTGAAACGAGTTCAGACGATAAAACTAAAAAGCTGAAACTGAACCTGCTCTGTGGGGTTTGGATCTGTAGCCTTGTGGCTAAGCTAACATTAGTTCAGTTAGCTGGATAAGGATGCACACAGCACAGAACAGGCTCGGTTCCAGCCAAATGAAGCAAAAAGACCCGTTTAGAGGCTGTTTCAGAACGAGTGACCAGTGTCAGAGTGAAAGCTGGAACTGAGTGTGTTCTCCGCAGCGTTGCCGTGGCGTCATGTTGCCGTGGCCTCATGTTGCCGTGGCGACATGTTGCCGTGGCGTCATGTTGCCGTCGGTTAAGTGCATTTTTTTGCTAGCATATTAACACAGCATTAGGTTTTTCCTGCCTTTGATTTTTTTTTCTCTTTCTATCAGCGCCACCTATTGGTCATCTCCCGCGCCACCAATCAGCGACTCTCTAAAATTAAAATATGATTATTTAGTGAAATTAAAATTGGACGCGTCATTATTCTGAAACACATTCGAATGTACGCTTTTTTTTAATTTGCTGAAAATGAGTTGTGTTTTGTGTTTTCAGGAGCAGCTGAAGGTCATGGAGCTCCGAACTTCTCTCAGCCTGCTGTGTGTGCTGCTTTGCATGCTGGGAATCCAGGCCATCAGCCAACACAGAGACACACCTGAGGATTACACACCAGGCACACACACACCTGAGGATTACACACCAGGTAAACACACACCTGAGGATTACACACCCGGTACACACACACCTGAGCTACAGCCAGCTTTTAAACTTCACACTGCTACAATATTTATATGACACTAAAATGTTGTGTTATATTAAACAGTTTCAATGAAAATACATGATCTAAAACACACTGATCACATCGGTCTGAGAATGTCTGGGCGTGGCTTCATATTCTAATGAGCAAGAGTGATTGACGTCCAACATTACCAGCCAGAGCTAAACAAAACAAAATGAGTGAATAGAGAAATGAGTGAGAAGAACCTTAAAGAAGGTCCTTATTCGCTTTACTGATGGATCTTTTATATGAAAAACCTTAAAGAAGGTTCTCATTCACTTTGCTTTTTTGTGTGGGACAGAACTCTTTACCTCATAATATTGTCTAGTACAAAAGAATATAATTGGTTTTACTGATGGTTTGAGCTGCCCATATGTATTTTTATGTATTTGAAATAAATTTCAAACACATTACAGCAACTACACACAACTGAACACATTTAATAACTGATACATATGAATGCTTTTTTAATATCTATTTAACACATATATTTTTAGCCATTTTCATAACGTGCAAAAATATTATTGATAAATACATGAGGAATATGTATTTTTTCTAAGTAGTATTAAAAGGCAGTGTGGTGATTTGTGAAAAGGCACTGATCTCTTTAAAGTGCAGCGTGTGGCTGTTTCTGAGTCTGTTTCTGAGTCTGTGTTTCTGAGTCTGTTTCTGAGTCTGTGTTTCTGAGTCTGTGTTTCTGAGCTGTGTTTCTGAGCTGTGTTTCTGAGTCTGTGTTTCTGAGCTGTGTTTCTGAGTCTGTGTTTCTGAGTCTGTTTCTGAGTCTGTGTTTCTGAGCTGTGTTTCTGAGTCTGTGTTTCTGAGCTGTGTTTCTGAGTCTGTGTTTCTGAGTCTGTGTTTCTGAGCTGTGTTTCTGAGCTGTGTTTCTGAGTCTGTGTTTCTGAGCTGTGTTTCTGAGTCTGTGTTTCTGAGTCTGTTTCTGAGTCTGTGTTTCTGAGCTGTGTTTCTGAGTCTGTGTTTCTGAGCTGTGTTTCTGAGTCTGTGTTTCTGAGTCTGTGTTTCTGAGTCTGTGTTTCTGAGTCTGTGTTTCTGAGTCTGTTTCTGAGTCTGTGTTTCTGAGTCTGTTTCTGAGTCTGTGTTTCTGAGTCTGTTTCTGAGTCTGTGTTTCTGAGTCTGTGTTTCTGAGCTGTGTTTCTGAGCTGTGTTTCTGAGTCTGTGTTTCTGAGCTGTGTTTCTGAGTCTGTGTTTCTGAGTCTGTTTCTGAGTCTGTGTTTCTGAGCTGTGTTTCTGAGTCTGTGTTTCTGAGCTGTGTTTCTGAGTCTGTGTTTCTGAGCTGTGTTTCTGAGTCTGTGTTTCTGAGTCTGTGTTTCTGAGCTGTGTTTCTGAGTCTGTGTTTCTGAGTCTGTGTTTCTGAGCTGTGTTTCTGAGTCTGTGTTTCTGATCTGTGTTTCTGAGTCTGTGTTTCTGAGTCTGTGTTTCTGAGCTGTGTTTCTGAGTCTGTGTTTCTGAGTCTGTGTTTCTGAGTCTGTGTTTCTGAGCTGTGTTTCTGAGCTGTGTGTCTGAGCTGTGATTCTGAGTCTGTGTTTCTGAGTCTGTGTTTCTGAGTCTGTGTTTCTGAGCTGTGTTTCTGAGTCTGTGTTTCTGAGTCTGTTTCTGAGTCTGTGTTTCTGAGTCTGTGTTTCTGAGTCTGTGTTTCTGAGCTGTGTTTCTGAGTCTGTGTTTCTGAGTCTGTGTTTCTGAGTCTGTTTCTGAGTCTGTGTTTCTGAGCTGTGTTTCTGAGTCTGTGTTTCTGAGTCTGTTTCTGAGCTGTGTTTCTGAGTCTGTGTTTCTGAGTCTGTGTTTCTGAGCTGTGTTTCTAAGTCTGTGTTTCTGAGCTGTGTTTCTGAATCTGTGTTTCTGATCTGTGTTTCTGATCTGTGTTTCTGAGTCTGTTTCTGAGTCTGTGTTTCTGAGCTGTGTTTCTGAGTCTGTGTTTCTGAGCTGTGTTTCTGATCTGTGTTTCTGAGCTGTGTTTCTGATCTGTGTTTCTGAGTCTGTTTCTGAGTCTGTGTTTCTGAGTCTGTGTTTCTGAGTCTTTTTCTGAGTCTGTGTTTCTGAGTCTGTGTTTCTGAGTCTGTTTCTGAGTCTGTGTTTCTGAGCTGTGTTTCTGAGTCTGTGTTTCTGAGTCTGTGTTTCTGAGCTGTGATTCTGAGTCTTTTTCTGAACTGTGTTTCTGAGTCTGTGTTTCTGAGTCTGTGTTTCTGATCTGTGTTTCTGAGTCTGTTTCTGAGTCTGTGTTTCTGAGTCTGTGTTTCTGAGCTGTGTTTCTGAGTCTGTTTCTGAGCTGTGTTTCTGAGCTGTGTTTCTGAGTCTGTGTTTCTGAGTCTGTGTTTCTGAGCTGTGTTTCTGAGTCTGTGATTCTGAGCTGTGTTTCTGAGTCTGTGATTCTGAGTCTGTGATTCTGAGCTGTGTTTCTGAGTCTGTGTTTCTGAGTCTGTGTTTCTGAGCTGTGTTTCTTAGTCTGTGTTTCTGAGCTGTGTTTCTGAGTCTGTGTTTCTGAGTCTGTGATTCTGAGCTGTGTTTCTGAGTCTGTGTTTCTGAGCTGTGTTTCTGAGTCTGTGTTTCTGAGTCTGTGTTTCTGAGCTGTGTTTCTGAGTCTGTGTTTCTGAGCTGTGTTTCTCAGTCTGTGTTTCTCAGTCTGTGTTTCTCAGTCTGTTTCTCAGTCTGTGTTTCTGAGTCTATGTTTCTGAGCTGTGTTTCTGAGTCTGTGTTTCTGAGTCTGTGTTTCTGAGTCTGTGTTTCTGAGCTGTGTTTCTGAGTCTGTGTTTCTGAGTCTGTGTTTCTGAGCTGTGTTTCTGAGTCTGTGTTTCTGAGTCTGTTTCTGAGCTGTGTTTCTGAGTCTGTTTCTGAGTCTGTGTTTCTGAGTCTTTGTTTCTGAGTCCGTGTTTCTGAGCTGTGTTTCTGAGTCTGTGTTTCTGAGTCCGTGTTTCTGAGCTGTGTTTCTGAGTCTGTGTTTCTGAGTCTGTGTTTCTGAGCTGTGTTTCTGAGCTGTGTTTCTGAGTCTGTGTTTCTGAGCTGTGTTTCTGAGTCTGTGTTTCTGAGCTGTGTGTGTTTCTGACTGAGCCGTTTAAACTCCACTGCTCTCTGATCTGGAGCTTCGTGTTCAGGATTACGCTGAACTGAACCTTCACAGTGTTTAAAAAAAAGCTTTTTTATTCTTTTATTCCTGAATAGTGCCTTAAATTTAGATCGAAGTCCTTTGTGGTCTATAGAGTCACGCCAAGGACAGCTCTCTGCACCGACGCATGACGGGAAGCCAAATCTGGCACAGCACTGGACGCCTGTTAGTGGACCATCACCGGGCCAGATTCAGGCTGAGCAAACAGAGGGTTTTTACTTTTGTAGAGTCAAACAATTCTGCAGTCAATAGGTGTTTTTGCAAAGTAAACACGTTCGATTGGTCATCCAAAGTCCAGGGCTGTGTGCAGTGATTGTCCAGCAAGGATATTAGCTGAGCGCTAATCTGGAATTATTTGTCTTATTTACTGTCTTCTGTGGAAATTAGAGTTCCACTGATATGGGAAGTGTGGACTGATGCTGATATCGGATATTTTTCGTGTATATATCGTTACAGCTGTGTAGTTCTGCTCACCTCTGGACTCCCTATTTTACACTCAGATGATATATAATTAGATTACATGCTTTTATGCTATATTATATAGATATGTAAGATATTATGCATTCAATGTATGTTATTAATTAAGGTAACATACATTAGATTGTACACTTGTATATACTCAGATTATATACTTTTATACACATTCATCTTATACATCATTGCATATGTAGATATTATATACTCAGATTATGTACTCATATACTTAGACAATATACATTCAGATTGTGCAGATATATACTTATTACATACTCTGTTGCATATTCAGATGATCTAAATTCAAATTATACAGTTATATACTTATTACATACTGAGATTATATACTCTACACATTAAGATTATACACCATTGTGTACTTAGATATTATATACTCGGATTCAATACTCTATTGCATACTCAGATGATCTACATTCAGATTATACAATTATATACTAATTATATACTCAAATAATATACAGTGAGATTATACACTGTTATATACCTAAAGGTTAGAAACTAAGATTAATCACATTCAGATTGTATACTTAGATATTATACACTCAGGTTATGTCAGATTATATACACCTGATATAATATCACATATTATACACTCTTTTGGACAGATATGAAGTCAGAACATACAGAGTGATTTTGTACCTAGAACAAATTTATACACTCAGATATATATTCTATTATTTACTTAGGTAACAGACATTCAGATTATATACTTGTATATTAGACATTTTAGACATAAATTAGACATTTTATACTCAGATTGTTTAATCTATTATACATTTAGATAATATACATTTAGATTATACACCACTGTATAGATAATATATACTCAGATTATACACTGTTATATAATATATAACATATAATATATAATAGTGTATACTCAAATAATGTACTTTCAGATTATACACTATTATATGCTTAGGTGTTACGTAATCAAATTGTACATTGTACTGTATGCTCAGACATTATACATTATTATGTAATTAAATATTATATACTAAGAATATATATTCCATTATATGCTCAGATAATATACATTCAGATTACACAGTTTTATACTGATATACACTCTATTATTTAATAAGATTATATATTATCTATATATTATCTATATATAAGATATATATATTATTATATATTATTATTATATATTATCTGACAGCTGATATAATATCACGTTATACAGTCATTTGGGCAGATGTAAACTCAGAACATACACTGTGATTTTGTACTCTTATATCATGACTCAGATTATATACTATATTATATATTTGGATTATTATACATTCTGATTATACACTCTATTACATACTGA